TAAAAACCCCCCTAAAAAAAAAAAAAAAAAATCAAATGCGCATTTTTGGGTTGCAATTTTGCCTTAAAAAAATTCCCATCCCTATTGCTAGAGTTCAGTCATATAAGTTCTTTTCTCTTGCAGGAGAGTACCCTACCCCAACTGTACTGCATCCCAACAGTGTACAGCGCAGTCCTCTGACACAACTCGTCAGTAGTTGTGAAAAGCACATCCATAAATCAAGCAGCTGGAATCTGAGGCCAAATATACATAAGAGTTTTGCCTTAAAAAAATTCCCATCCCTATTGCTAGAGTTCAGTCATATAAGTTCTTTTCTCTTGCAGGAGAGTACCCTACCCCAACTGTACTGCATCCCAACAGTGTACAGCGCAGTCCTCTGACACAACTCGTCAGTAGTTGTGAAAAGCACATCCATAAATCAAGCAGCTGGAATCTGAGGCCAAATATACATAAGAGAAAAGAGCGTTGATCTTTCTTTCAAAGCTTTCTCTTGCCTTCATGCAGAGTATTTACTGCATATATGGAATTAAAGCAGAGAGCAAGCATGTACGCGGTATGGCTAGTAAACAGCAACACAGCTTTGAATTAACTGCATGCTGCATCAGCACCGTGGGAGGCAGCCACGGTGCCGTGGCTATGCCACCAGCAGTCTGCAAGGCTGACACAAGACCCTTACACATCTGAACCTATCAAGCTGGTGAGATGTCAACAGAGTTCAGCTGCAAACAGGTAACAAAAATAAGAGCAGGCTTACGGCCCCTGTGCTGCTGTCTGCCCTTGCTATTAAGACCACACGCACATACGGCACACAGGGACTAGGCACAAGCTGGGTGACTGGAAGAAGGGAGAAGTATGTACATCTCCAGTGCCAGTAATTACTTTGTGGTGGGACCTAACCTCCACTGCTGGCAAGGAAGGAGGTAATTTGAGTGAAGACACACCAAGGAATTAAAAATGAAAAATACGTATCCTGTAATCAGAAGCTCAAGAACAGTGAGCCCAGCTCTGCCAAGAGAAGTAACTGTACAGCAAGGGCTAAACACCATATTTAAGTTTCTGGAGGGCTTACTCCAAAGCTTTCTGGGAAATGCAGAAATATAAAAATAGAAGTATTTATGAAAAAAAGATGTAGCATTGTCTAAATATTAACTCAGGAGAGAGGACATTGCTCTCTTTCAACCCTCCCTGAGCCTCTCTACTCACAAACATGAGAGCACAGCTCCCTCCCTCCTAACTGCAATGAAATATTCAGTAGATCTGTGGACTCCCTCTAGCTTACTGTGTGTGGATCATTCAGATAAGAGCTTTAAAGTGGTATCTTTGCCTGGAAATCCAGAATCCCTTGGCAAATACAATGTTCAAATGCTTGTTTGGATAACTTCTGCCAAAACTACCCCCACATCGCGTTGTGCAGAGCCTCCCGCTTGCTGCCTCTCGCACCTCTGGGTTGAGCTACACAGTGGCAGCGCTATCGTCTTTAATCTACTTTAGACTCCCTTTGTGAGGGAAGGCTACATACGAATGAGAGCTATCAGTGAACCAAGTAATTAGCCCTGAACTTTGTGAGATTTGTATCATCATGCAAGTAGAAGAGAAATCTAGCCATGGGTGCCCAGCGAAAGAAGGCATGTCCTCTAAGGCTGCACTTTGTGATGTCTATCACCTCTAATCCCCAGACTCATCAAGAGGATTCAGCTGCTGTAAGACAGCAAGATACACTGGCCTTCAGCTGGTCATTTAACTCCTCTGGAACATGACTGCTGATTAACCTGACATCCCTGCCATCACCACTTAGATCCGCACAAACTGCTCGGAGTTATTCTGGGCTTTAAAGCCAGTCTAACCAGTTCGTAGTTACAGAGGTTTTCAGCAACAGCAACACGCTGCATTTAACACTGAGGTAACTTTGATGAACTGCATCTAACACTTTTTTGACACTGCCTCTTACAATGCATGGTGACAGCTGTCATTCCAGATGAACAACCCTGTGAAAGGAAGGGATGGAGCAACACACTGGTCGAATCCCACCTTGATACTCCCCTCTCCCCACTTTTTCCAAGCCCCTGTTAGGCATTCACTATCATGATCAGTGTTGTGCAACAAGTTACTTTCTTTTGACACGTTCCAGCTTCTGAAGTCACCAACGATCCCTCCTCTGCTCCAAGAGAGCTGCAAGGACACTTCCCACTCTCCTTTCTCCTCTTCCTGAGCACAGCAGGTTGACATTACCAGAAAATCATTCTTAGTTTATTCTTATAATAGCCCCTAAGCACCTCAGTCTACTCTGCCAAGCACTGTACTAGCCGAACAAAGTGGCAGCCCTTGCCCCAATGAGAAAGCTACACAAAACCAGACAACTTTAGGCAAATAGGGGGAAAATTGAGCAGGATACAGAATGCTGGTCATACTGAGAGGCATGGCACACCCTCCAAGACAATGGTATTTCTTATGGAGGGGTACGAAGAACCATGAGAGGTCTTATGGAGTAACGAGAACAAGCAAGAAGGTGCACGTGAAATATTGAAATGAAAGGGCAATGGAGGCTGGCTCAAGGGACCCACTGGAGCAGAAGGGAGGTGTCTTCTCCAAACCATGCAAGACATGCTGTGGAAAGAATAGATGACTGGTGTCAAGAAATTGAAGGTGAGTATTTGTATTTATATTTGACATGATCCAGGAGGTACACGTGAACTATTAAGACAGAGTCCAAAACAAAAGGCTGAGAAAATTATCTTGGTGACATTATTCTAGATGGGTATGAATAGGGCAACACTGCATTGCTAAGGTGAGACAAAATACACTGCAAACCATTCAGATATAAAGAGAACAAAGCCTGAACAAGAGATTTAGCTATTCAAATGGCTAGGAAAATCCATATCCTAAAAATGGTCACTTTGGCTATTAGAAATCTCTTCTCAGGCTTCAAAATCCTGACTGTTGAACGAATGATACCAGCTGCTTTACCCCCGCTGAAACTTCCTATGAACTTCAGAGCTCTATCACACAATGACTAGATGAGAAGCACTCCCCTTCACCTACCCTTTCGTAAGTCCATGAATGCTAGGCATTTTGGCACATGAAATATGTCATTTAAGGAGTCTACACAGCACTTAGCAAAAACCCAGCTAACGCTTCTATGTGTGACGCACTAGCACTGTTAAATTCCACATACAGATTATGCTAACTGAACATTAATGTTGCAAAACACCCGGGTATTAAGCAATACCTACGAAGGTTTACTTCAGTGTACTTTTGCATGTTATATATACCTAAAAATAGGAATGTTTTAATAATGGGATCAAACTATTTCTCTGCAGAACCTGTGCCTTACCCAACATGCAGAATGCATGGCACTCCTCTAGCTGAGGAGCTATACCATGTTTTGTCATTCTCATTGTCTCACGCATAGCCTCATCTCTCCTTTACCAAATCAATTCAAATTCTGTTCCCACAGAGCTGTTTAATTCCCTCCTAGGGCACAATCAAAACGCTTCACCAACCTGAATTAATTTCCACAGTGGTCCTGAAAATTCAAGTGAGCCATGGAGAGATTAAGGCCAAAAAAGTATCTAGTAATTTAAAATGGCCAACTGGAGACAGTTGGAATTGGATTTTTCAGATGATTTAGCACTGTTGTTATACTTTATCAAAACACAGTATGCATTGAGTTTTCAGGTGTGGCCACTTCAGCAAGTCAAACGTCAGAGTTTCAAATCAAGCATCCAAAAAACCCATTCATCACAGCAACTGAGGGTTTGTGACACATGCACCTAACCTCTTCTGTGTCCAAGACTAAAATGACATTTCTTCAGAAAGTTTTTGTGTGCTGCTTTTGTCATCAAGCTTGTCCTACTTTTCCTGCAGACTCTTGTTTAGCATGCATCTTCCACCTTTTTTTTTAAAAAAAAA